AGAGTATTGTATGTATCATGTATGTTCTGTGTGCCTTGGTTTCTGATAGAATAAGTCTTCCAGCTGTGTTCTCCTTCAAGATTGGCATGCCAACTGTTGGACCTCTGGCGATGCTTTAAATGAGGTGTTTGTTTTTGTTATTGTTGTTGTTGAGACTATGCATAGCAAAACACACCAATTCGACAGTTTCTATACATACAGACATGCATTGCATTCTTCAACAGATAACAACCCTTCTCCCCCTCCTTATCTGAGTGATTCCTTCAAGGTTAATTTCTCATAAACCAACTCCCCCCTAAGCTTCTTATCTAACCTTTCCAATTGCTGTTGTCAATCTGATCCCCTATAGGAAAAAAAAAAAACAACCACTGCCATCAAATCGATTCCAACTCATAGCAACCCTATAGGACAGAGTAGATCTGCCCCAAAGCTCCCATATTTGCAGAAGCAGACTGCCTCCTCATCTTTCTCCCAAGGAGCTGCTGGTGGGTTCAAACCACCAGTTAGCAGTCCAACACTAAACCCACCTTAACACTAGGACTCCATTTATTGCCAACAGAGTGTTTAAAAGTGAGGCATCCGCAGCTGTTCAGTTCCACAGCTGCTATTCGAGATGATGATGAGATGAGCCTTGTGGATGCTGAGTTCTCGGTGCTATGGGCACAGTGTCTGTTGGGGCTCTTCTCTCTTTCTTTCTGTCCCTCTTTCTTTCTTTCTTTCTTTCTTTTTTTTAAAATATTCTTGTTGAAAATATACACAGCAAATAGGTTCTCATTCAGCAGTTGATACACATGACATTGGGTACATTCTGTGGCTGTGCCATTGTTCTCCCTATGCAGGCTGGCTTCAGCCTTGGTGATCTCTGGTTTGTGGATCCCCCTGTGGGTTGGGCCATATCCCTGGTGACCCTGAGTTTATGGACCCCATGTAAGTGGGGCCACAGCCTTGATGACCCTGGGTTTGTGGATCCCCATTGGGTAGGGCCCCAGCTTCATGACCTTTGGGTTTGTGAGCCCCCAGGCATGACAGGCCCCTGACTCAGTGACCCTGGCTTTGTGTACCCCCATATGGACTGGGCCCCTGACTCAGTGACCCTGGCTTTGATGCACCCCCATATGGACTGGGCCCCTGACTCAGTGACCCTGGGTTTGTGCACCCCCGTACAAACTGGGCCCCTGACTCAGTGACCCTGGGTTTGTGTACCCCCATATGGACTGGGCCCCTGACTCAGTGACCCCGGGTTTGTGTACCCCCATACGGACTGGGCCCCTGACTCAGTGACCCCGGGTTTGTGCGTCCCCATATGGACTGGGTCCCTAACTCAGTGACCCTTGGTTTGTGGGCTTCCTTGGAGACTGAGCCTAGCCCAGGTGATCCTGTGTTTGTCTCCCTGTAGGGTGACTATGACCAGGGCCGGACCAAAGTGCTGCATCTGCGTATGAACCCAGCAGGCATGGCCCAGCAGCGGCTCCGGGAGGACCATGTGCGACTACAGGACGAGTGTGAGCGGCTTCGAGAGCTGGTGCATGCCCTGGAGCGGGGCGGCGCTGTTGTCCCCACCGACCTGGAGGCTGCTGCAGGTCTGCTGTCCCCCAAGGAGGTGGCAGGTAGGCGCTCCCCCCCGGGTCCTGACATCTACTAGGCCATCCACCCCAACAACTGCTGCCTATCTGTCTGTCCATCCAGAGATGGGCAAAACCCATGCTCACTACGGGCCTGTGTCTCTTGTGATGAGAGCACATTTCCTGGAGCTATTGACACAGTAGCAGGGTGGTCTGAGGTAATGAAGCTGGGGGTCATTTCAGGAGTGTGGGCATGTCATCTGTCACAGTAGCTGGGGTGGATTCATACTCACAGCCCAGACAGGGTCACTGTGTGAATGCCGTCCCGGAGTGTCTCACTGCAGCAGCTGAGGGAGTGGTCATTTCCCCATATGGGGACTTAACTGTGTGCCTGGGACCCAAGCCACTGTGCAGGCAGTTGGGACTCCAGATAAGGTACAGTACCTGAGGTTCCCCAGGCCCAGCTACTTTGCCGAAGCTGGGTGACTTCTGGCCTCACCCTTGGGAACATGTGTTTGGCCATCTGGTTCATGGCTCCAGCTGCTCTATTCACGACATTTGTGATTTATCATTCTCAAAGCTGTTCACATCCTTTTGTGTCCTCGTCATCCTTGTCCGTGAGGGAAGCAGGTCTTCTTGTCCTCTTGCCTATCGAGATGTGGCCTTCTCTCTCATCCTGCCTGTCAGGGAAGCAGGCTCTCTTATCCTGCCTGTTAAGGATGTGGCCCTTTTGTCATCCCATCGGGGACATGACCCTCTTGTCCTTCCATCGGGTATATGACACTCTTGTCATCCTGTCGGGCATATGACCCTCTTTGGCCTTCTGTCTGGGACATGACCCTCTTATCCTTATGGGGATGTGACCCTCTTGTCCTTCCATCAGGGATGCGACCCTCTTGTCCTTCCATTGGGGACATGACCATCTTTCCTTCTGTCAGGGATGTGATCCTATTATAATCCTGTCAGGAATGTGGCCGCTTTGTTCTCCTGTTGGGGATGTGGCCATCTTGTCCTCCCTTCGGGGATGCGGCTCTCTGCCCAGTCCTGGAAGTGAACTCTGAGGTTGAACCCAGGCCTCTTCCCTTTCCGAGCACCACTGGGTCTGACACAGACAAAGGCCGACTCCGGGTCCCAAGGCATACAAGATGGGTAAGGGGTGTGGAGGCTCTCGTGTGGTGCCTGCCACACAGACAACATCAGTGTCATTGGTGAGCCTAGGGAGCTGCCAGGCCCGCAATTGAGTACCCAGCTCTGCCCCTGCCAGCACTACGATTGAGCCGAGAGTGGTACTAATGGAGATACAGGTGCCTAGAAGCTGCTTGCTGTCCATGTTTTGATTGCTACCAGCTGGACTCCCTGGCTACTGGTGAAAGTGGTGGTTTCCAGAACCCCCCGCCCCTGCCCCAGCAGACCTGTAGTGTATTGGGATCCTTGTAACCCAGGAGCCAGCACCGCCACAGACTTCGCCTCGAGCCACATGGTGCAGGAATCCCCTCCTCCCGACATTTCATCCGTTGGGATCTGCCTGTCCTGTTGCTTCTGATGCCACCTCCCCACCCCCCGATCTCACATGAGGCTTGTCAACAGAAAGTGAGGGTGTGTGCGCGCACGTGCATGCATGTACGTACTGTGTGCATGTGTGTGAATGCTTGGGCACAAGTTTGTGTGCCTGAGTGTGCTTACATGAGTGTGTGCATGTCTCTGCATGTGTGCATTTGTGTGTGATGCGCATGTATGGGTATGCATAAGTGTGAGTGTGTGGACATGTTTGATTGTGTGCACACATGCCCTACTCATATCTCAAGCTCAGCTTCTCCCATCTTACTGGGTTCCGAATTCAATGGGGTATTTAACCATATCCAGCAGCTTCCTGGAGCCCATATCATCCTGCGCCACCTTGTATAGGTTAGAACATGAAGGCTCAGCCATGTGGAGCAGAGCTTTCTTCCTAGTCCCTGTCCTGCTTTGGAGGTAGAGCAGGGAGCCTTCCTAACATGGCCATGAGGGACCCCTCAGTGCTGGAAACCTGACCTTGGGGACCTGCTCTTCTGAATTGCCTCAGCCTCCTCCTCAGCACGTATCAGCACCAGTTGCATGAAACCCCAGCAGACAGCACACTGGGAACCAGTCCCACATAGCCAACAGCCTCTGGGGACGGCAACTGGATCGCCCCACAGGGCCAGTTTGATAGGCAGTGCTGGCCACAGAGGGCCAGGCTGGGGACCCTCAGGCCAAGTCCAGCGCCATAACAAAGGCAGTGTCTGCAGGGCCTGGCAGGCTGAGGTAGGCAGCCCTGTACTCCTCCCCGCCCCTGGAGCCCACTCCTTGGTGGGACCCAAACCTCTAAGCAAACAGCATGGGGACTCCCACAGAGTCCCATGCCAGTCCTTCCCCACCATCCTGAATCCCACCTGCTCATCACCGTGGACTGGAAGGCCTGATTTCCAGTCACAGCACCATCTCCTGGGCTGTCTTTGTGGACCTATTTAAGTGACTTCAATCTGGGATGACCCACAGAAGGGCCCCCACTCTTGTTAAGGGGTATGATAGGCTGGATATCCAGTAGTGTTTGTGGAGTGCCCCCTGCCACTGTGCAGCCCTGTGCCCAGGGCAGGGAGTGAGCAGGGCCCCCAGAGCCCCGAGTCTGGGTGGGGAACAGCCCAGGTGGCAGGGCTAGGAGGGCTCAACCAGAAGGACATTCGGAGTGGCATTGAGGGGATTCCTCACACAGGGTCTGAGTCCATGGTGTCACACTCTCAGGACCAGCCTCTGGTGTAGCTCCAAGGTCGGGTTCCACAAAAAGAGGTGGGAAAAGCCAGAACCATCGGTTTAGCTCTATGGGGGAACTTACACATAGGTCAGCACTAAGACTCTCTAGAGTGTTGAGTGTCACTGAACAGAGGTCCCAGCAGAGTGGGCGTGGGAGAGGGCAGGAGGGTTCATACACCTAGTGCTTATGTGCCAGGATGTATGCAGGGGACCCAAGGAGCAGTTATCAACTGAAAATGAGCAGCAATGGAACAGTGTCAGACAGAGTGCCAGAAGATGAGCCCCTCAGGTTGAAAGACACTCAAAATATGACTGGGAAGAGCTGCCTCCTTAAAATAGAGTTGACCATAATGACATGAATGGGGTAAAGCTTTCAGGACCTTCATTTTCTGATGGGGCACAACTCAAAATGAAGAGAAACAGCTGCAAACATACATTAATAATCAAAAAGTGGAATGTATAAAGTATGAATCTAGGAAAATTGGGAATTGTTAGAAATGGAATGCATAAGGATCGATAGCCTTAGGCTGAATGGGCTGGTATTGGCCATTTTGAATCTGACAGTCATAAGGTTTACTTTTCTGGGAATGTCAAATTGAAGAGGAATGGTGTCTCATTCTTCATCAGAACACAAACAGATAAACAACATTTCAAGATTTATCTTGAAGTACAACGCTGTTTGTGATAGGATAATATCCATGCACCTATAAGGAAGACCAGTTAATACCAACCACTGATATTCACATGTATGCACCTAGCAACTAACAACCCTTTCTCAGAAAGCTAGTAAAGGATGTGCTCCAGCAAAACAAGGGTATGAGCCATAAAAGATGGCATGAAATATGGAAAGCAGGAGTTTTATCCTAGGAGACGGGTGAAGGGAGACCTAGGACAGTGCCCTTGAAAGCAACTGGTGTAGGCTGCAGCTGGTCAGAGGCTCTGGGATTTCTTCAGAAAGGTGAAATTGGCAGAACCTAAAGTATTAGACCATCATGTAAGGAGAAAGCCTTCCCTGCCTGAGCTCCCAGATGGGTTGCTGTAGATGTAAGTGCCCTAGTCCCTGACCTGATGCATGGATCCTCCACCTTTACCCTTGTGTCCTTAATATATGTTTCATTTTTCATGTTTACCACTCAAAAGAAAGGGAATGGAGTCGCTCCATAAGATAAGCACAGGTTTGGCGGTTCAAGCCCACCAGCTGCTTGATGGGAGAAAGATGAAGCTTTCTGTTTCTGCAAAAGATTTAAAGCCTTAAAAACCCTATATAGGGTCACTTTGAGGCAGAACAGACTCCATGGCATTGAACAGCACCATCAAACTCAAGAAAAGGTAACAAGGTCAGCAATTCTCAGCACTTAACTGTGAACTATAAGGTCAACAGTTCAAATGCACCAGCTGCTCCTTGGCAACTTTACACAGGATCACTGTGAGTCAGAGTTGACTCAGTGACACTTAACAACAACAATGAGCTATATAGGTAAATGCAAAGCTATGCAAATAAACAAAGAAGTACTGGTATTTGCTATATGGGCCACCTCTGAATAGAAGTTATCTAGAATCATAACAGTCATGTTAGCAACCCTGGTGACACAACAGTTAGGTTCTCAGCTGCTAACCAGAAGGCTGGCGATTTAAACCCGCCCAGTGGCTCTACAGGAGAAAAGACCTAGCAATGTGCTTCCGTAAACATGGCAGCCAAGGACATCCTATGAAACCCTTCTAGTCCATCACTTGGGTGGGATGGCCATGAGTCAGAATTGACTTGGTGTTACCTAACAACAAAGGCAGTATTGAAAGTGGGGAGCAGTGATAACTCACTGGTAGGCTTCTCACCTTCCATGCCTAAGAGCCAGATTCAGTTTCCAGCCAGTGCACCTCCTGCGCAGCCACCAGGCACCCATCACAGAGGCTTATATGTTGCTGTGGTACTGAACATGTTTCAGAGGAGTTTCCAGATTAAGAGGGACTAGGAAGAAAATCCTGGCAACCAACTTCTGTAAAGCAGCCTGTGAAAACTGTGTAGATCCCAACATTCCAATCTACAGCTGATCTTAAGAGGGTTGTAGGACCAAGCAGCATTTCGTGTAAGTGTACAGGAGTCACTGCAACTGGACAGCAGGAAGCAACAGCGATAGCACCAAGTGGGCACATGGGGATAGGCATGGGCATTGTGTGTTGTGAGGGTGGTGACAACAGAAAAGGAGGCGAGCCCAACCCCCCGCATCCTAGGGGAGCCCAGAGATCAGCCTAACACTCAGCCCAGACAGGTACTTTAG